CTGCAGCTCCTACAGATGAGGAAGATGTACCATATCTAACTAATTGATAAAGTTTATTATATTGACTGTGAGATGATGCTAAAACAGAGAACATTTTTGCATCCATCTTTTGTAAACTTTGTTGTAAAGAGAAACGATCACTTTCACTTTCCTGAGCAAAAGCAAGCAGTCCGCTAGAAGAGAGCAGAAAGGAAAATGGGTCGTTCCAAGGGCTCAAAATGTATGTTATTCTACTGATATTATGAACTGACAATCATATTATACCAGAATGATTGCTAGCAATCAGACTGGCATATTAGACATTAAAAACAAGACAAAAGTCTAGTAACTTACTGTGACATATCCAGCCGTTGATCTAATTTGATCTGAAGACTTTGGAGGGAAATCTATTTGTAAATTAACTTGATGCCGATCTGGACATATCCTCATATCCCTGCATATTTATAACACAACAAAGGAGGAAAAGGCTTAACAAGGATAAACAAAGCCAATTCCATCCTCCCCCCTGAATTTTTAAGACAGCAAACTGAAGTGCTTTTTGACCATAGAGTCATCTGTCAATTTCAGGAGAAATAGTAGGTGAAAGATTAACAAGAATTTATGAGCATAAATTTCAGAAGCTAAGTCAAGAAACTATTGGAAAAAAATCCTATTCTTAAATTAACAGCTGTTCATGGAAAGAATATTCTATTTTATTATGAAGTATGTGAAACTCAACAGCAGCATTGGGGAATTCAGAACTGAGGATTATTTGCTTATATCTTGATAGCACCTAACAGGCCACAATAAGTGTTTGGCTATAACCCAGTTACTGATGTGACTACAGTATAATGGAGATATACCCAAGCTGATTTCATAAAACTTAGTTCAGGTACTGGCAACAGACTATATCTGGTAGCACAAAGCTAAATATAAAACTAGTCTCTCAATTACCCAGATTCTCACGAAGATCTTGCAGCCCATGCTGATTTCCATATTCTTACAACAAGACTATCACCTGCAACCAAACTAGCTGGTTTAAAGCTAGTTCAGGTGCATCCACACTAAACTACAAATACAGCAGAGATGTGGAAAAGGGTATGAAATGGTGACTTTGGATAATGAGAATGAGGAAGACTCTATGGCCTAAATCCCCTTCCAGTCCTATGTTTGTATATACCTATATTGCCAGTGTAGTCACAAGCTACATAACTAAGAGCTGGGACACAACTGGAGGAACCATTCATTAACACATGTGCATATTAAATGCTCTATCATAGCTAGAAGGAAGCAGACATTTATTGTTATAAATTTGGTTTACTTTAAGCAAAAGATTAGAAGAATAAGTCATTTCAATATACCCTCCAAGGAGTTTTTGATATCAAGTCTCAAAATTACATTTGTGATGAGTATTCTGATTTATGAAACATCACAACTAGGGACCTACTCAAATCGCAATTTTCACAGAAACTGTGAAAAACGGCAGTTCCCACGATTCTGCACAGAATTGCTGGGGGAAAGATAGCTTACTAAAAATAAAACGCTGCAGAGGACACTGTGGCCCAGCCTCACAGTCCACAGGGGGTGAAGGGGGAAGGAGCTGCCAGCACAAAGGGAAGCAGCCAAGATGGTGGCCACAACCTCCACCGTTGATTGGCATGTCCACATGAAAGGCAGCCTTCTCTACCAATCAGCGATGACGGGCAGGGCCACCAGATCCCCTTGGACAATCAGCAGTGGTGAGGAGGAAAGGGCGGAGGAAGAGACACCATGAAAAGATTGAAAAAATGGCAACCAGCACCACAATCAGCCTGCAAAATTGCCCATCTGCCACCTCAATTTGGGTAGGTCCCTAATCATAACAGAAATCCATAGTGTAAAATTAGCAGTATGCTAGGGAAAATACTACACAGAGACAATTGAAATGAAAGAAAATTTAGTCCCCATTTTCCTCATACCAATGCTTAAAAAATAAGTTATCACACTTACTCGAATCCAAGACGACTCAAAGTTAAAGACAAGTCCCCAATAAATAGATTATATGCATGGAAAACCATAAATGTGTTATAATTTTTCACATAGAGAATTTAATTACTAGTGAGCTGGCTTAAACGAATCCCTCCCATCACTGCGATGGGGAATGGTACAGCAATAAGGGGGGAGCATATGGTCTGCCTCTATGCCACTTGCCCCACCACACCTGTGTCAATCAGAACCTATACCCCTGCTGCCTGCCTTCCCCCTCCCATCAGTGTTTCTCCCCCTCCCTCAGTCTGCCCACTTCCTACTCCCCACTGCCTTTCCCCCTGCCATCACATACCCAATGTAGCAGCTCTGACTCTGGCCCAGGGCATGGAGCACAAGGTGCCTGGCCCCAGCCAGATAGTAGTGATGGCAGCAGCACCTTTGGCTCTGGTTGGGGCTAGAACTGCAGCAGCTCTGCCACTGCTGCAGTCTTCCTTGCACTCCCCTGGGCCACACACTGCACACTCCGCAAGTGTGCCCTCTGGGTTGCACACTGCATTGTCTCTGCAACATTTCCCCCTCCATCACCACACTACTAACCCAGCTGTGGCCAAGCAACTGTGGCAATGGCAGCTCCAGTATTTAAATCCAAGATGAGGCTCCCACCTCCTATGCTGAACTAATAAAAATCACCTCTTGTTTTTGAGTAAATATGGTACTTACTTGAAAGGAGATTACTATGCAGCACCTTCAATATCGAAGGGAAACCAACAAGAGACCTGCCGCATTATTAAAAACCTGCTCTCTTAGGGAGGCGTGACAAGTTTTCCTCAAATATTAAACAACTTTTGTCAAAACTTTGGGGGGAAAAAAGCCATTATTCAAAGCAAATAGCTCTTTGCACAAGTTATTTTAAGTAGTCTGCTAGAATAGATTATGCATTTTCTTACTTGCAAACCCCAAGTGTTTTAAGATAACGACAAAGAGGCCTTGCTAGTTTCATATCTTCTTTAGCTTTGAGCACTCCAGCTGCAAAGTCACTCAATTCTGGTGGAATTTTAGCATCTGTGTGTTCCAAGTAATGCAGCACACCAACTGCGTGGCATCCATTTCTTTCAGTCAGCAACAAGATCGATTTTGCTTTAGTAAATTTGTCATCTTTCAAAGAACTCTTCAGAAAAAGGAAAGAATATTTTTGTTTTTAAAATGTCGTCCACTAAGTATGCGGCAACATATTAGTAATTAAATGTTAACCAGCAGAACTAAAACATCTTGAGAGTTAAATCAAACCTTTTCTATGCCACTTCGAAAGTTATCAGACATGCTGTGTAAGCGTGTACCAAAGACACTTGGAGAGGACGGAAAACTGAAATGTACCACACAAGTTGCATCAGTAATTCCCAAGTATTTCATGCAGTCATCAGTTGAAACTGGAAGAGAAAGCAAGCCACAATACATCATATTTACATATTACAAAGTATTTTTCTGGTGGACTAAAAGACAAAAGATCCAGCTGAGGCATGTCCCACAAAGAAGTTATAATTTGAACGTTATCATTTTGATGCTGTGTTGTGTAAAAATATCAGGAGGTAAATGCCCTGGAGAGAAAATAACTATTTAGACAATGTTGGCAAAAATACAAACAAATATAAACTGGCCATGAATAAATTTAGGGGGGATATTCGAAAAAGTTTCTATTCATTAGGGCAGTCGGATTTTTAAACAGCTTTCTAACAAAAGCAAAGAAGTGGCTCCTTAAAAAAGACAAAAAGCAGCAGCAGCTTGATACATTTATGAAAGGAATTCTATAATATGGTTGCCTGCAATAATGGGGGACTAGACTCTATGACTCAAGGGATTTCTTTTATTCCTTTGCATATTCACTCCCCTCCCAAGATTGTGCCACTTTGGCAATACATTTGGAAGTCCAACCTTCCTTTTGCTGGAATATTTTCTTAAAAAAACAAAAATCAAAGGAGTTTTGTTACTGCTGATCTCATGCCTGTTGATACTTTATGTACCTCAACTTATTTTTGTAACCTCCTTCTACATGAATGGAATAGTGTCTTGAGTTTTCTGGGAAACGTATTATGGTCTCAGAAGCTGCTTTGAACTTGACAGCTAAGCTTAAAAACGGGACTCTTTCTTGATCATTTTCCCTAATGAACTCCCTGGAATAAAAAAACAGATAAACTAAAAGCTTGATAGAGTAAGGAATTTCTCTGCAGATGCTGAAAGAAATTCCAGATTTTGATGGTAGGAATTCCAAGACTGCAAAGAAACTACCTGGATATTTGTACCCTTTAAAAATAAATATATAAATAAAACCACACACTCACACTCTAGTATTTTCCCTTATCATGATCTTTGAAATCTGGCCAAAGAAGAATCTGTTATTTTCCCTAGTTGAGACCATACTCCCTTGTATTTTTAGGGAGAGCAAGATAAATTATTTCCCAAGTCCTGTATTTGGAAAAGCATCTATTTTCCAGGTTTACAAAACTCTGGCAACTGAGCAGCTCATTTGACTTCAAGTTTACATAAAACCTGTTCAAGGAAGAAATACCTGACCATTTCAGGCAAGTGAGTTTTGATCACGAGTGTTTTCAAGGCACTACTAAATGTAGATATGCTCATTTCATTGTGAAGGTAAACATTTGGAAAACAAGTTCTGTGATCTAAGTGAAGGTCATATGAAAAAAAGGAGGTTGTTGAGAAACACAAAAAGAAAGCAGCCCTTCAGATCTACATAGGATAGAAAGCTATATGCACCAAAAGGAATTCCTGATTCTGATACTAGTGATTCCAAAATGGTTTGTGAGAAACTGCTCTTTGCAGTTAACAGATCAGCACTGCTGGAAGAGCCCACTGATTTGTGACAGATGCACTAACAGCTACTCAACAATTAAAGCTCCCCTAACCTGTACTACTTACAGAGGATTGAAGAACATAGTTATTGGTATTCTGACCTAAGGTCTACTTCCTTTTTGCATTTCTGGACAACCTCTTGTATCTTCATTTGAGGTGAAGACAGAAGCAACAATTTTTGCTTGATATGGCCACAGAAAGCAGTCTACAGCCGTGATCAAACGCCCAAATGCACGGCTGCAGACACCTTCAAACATGGCCAATCAGATGAAAGTGACCCCTTATTCCATGAGGTATCATATGAAAACGTTTCAAAATGCAGCGTCTTTTGTAACTTGTTTGTGGAGCTCCCAGCCTGCTGCTGTTTTCAGAATGAGAGGGAAAGGGGAGCAGAGGCAGTTCAGTCTGTTTTGTTCGGCTCTATCTCCCCCAAGGGTGAAGCAGGTGTATTAGAACACTCCTCAAATTGGGAGGCTCCAATTCACCCATGCCACCATTCAGCACCAGCTGGGTAGCCCTAAGAACGAGCTCCCTCCACTGCCTTTCCCCACTCCCGTTGTGAAAACGGAGCACTGGCAAAGCCATGGCCACTGCTATGGGAACCTGGCTGCAAGCTCCCAGGGGGCAGCTAGATTCCCCTCCCCCTAGAACCAACAGTGAACTTCTGTTTGGTCTGGGGTAACACTGTAAAATCAGAATGGTTTGCAGAAAAACATTCCGAGTTACAGCTGGGAGCTCACTTCTGCCTGCACCTTACATCTTCACTTATATCACAGAACGTCTGGTGTGTTTTTAGTGTTATTTTTATTTTTGGTTCCAAAAAACATTTAGGGTGTTCTTGGTTTTTATTTAATTCTATGTTGTTATTGGTTCCAGAAAGAAGTTGAAGTTATATGCATCTCTTGTGTAGAAGATTGGAGATAACACTGTTGGACCCTAAGTCGGGTACTAGAAATTGAGCTCCAGGCTGAGTCAAAATAGCCAGAGATAAGACCAAGTAGCAAAATAAACTGATTCGCTTTTAAACTAGTCTTACATGGCACTGGAAGCCTACATACACGGATACATTACTGAGCATGGAGATAAATTAACTGTACTGAAGAAACGGAACAAGGACTTGTCAAGTAACCAGGCTCTTGGTTTTAATGTGTTGCCTTTTAATGAAGTCATAACTACAGAAAGTAAATCTGAGGTTTTAACAACCACAATATAATATTAACCTATGGCCTGAAAAGCTGCAGGTGAAAAATTAAGGAGCAAAGAAGTTTTGTTTTGATTTTTTTTGAACAGGTGGCAAGTTGTCTTTTATTCCTTTTTTAATTATTGAAATATATGATGCATTATCAACAACCTTGATATTTATTTAGATTTATATCCTACCCTATCGAAAGGCTCAGATGATAAATACAGCATCCTGGATTTGAATCTTTAATTTGAAAAGCATCCCAGGATTATGAGAATTTACTCTCATTTCTTCACTGAACTATCTACTTACCTAACTATATTCTGTTAAGATGTACTGTTCTTTTTGTTTGGTTATGCTCTAATTCTGCTAGAAACATACAGAAGTTCTAGTCTAATAAAGATTCTCAGAGACACATTTGCATTTAATACTGCTGCCTTCAAGTCTTTCAGGGGCTAAAATATAACTGGTTTGCACTAGCACCAGCAAATTTTACATCAGTTTTGTACACCAATTTAAGTTGCACTAGGATCCAGGGTGGAGACGAACACCAGTCTCTCTGGTAGCTACTAGGCTAAATACTATTACAGCTCATCAACCTTAGGTGGCAGCAGAGCAAGTAATATGCTACTTGTATTGAGAAAATTGTTACCCAAAGGCAGCTATTGACACAGCACCTACACTGGTATATTCTTACTGCAGTTTTCCCTGGGAAACTGTTCATGGTTTCTACTCTGTGTTTACTCTTCATTAACACTAGTGTAAATACATTATATAGGCTAAAAGCAATAACAGATTGCTGCTTAGAATCAGCTTCTTAAAAATGAAAAGAAAGCACTTACCTAACACAACATGAGTGCCAGGACTAAATTTTTTTCTCCATTGCTCTTCAACATATTTGAAATGATACTCAATTTCCTTGTGTATTTTTAAGCAAAATATTGCATTGCTCTCCACTACCTGAAACACAAGAGTTGTCTCTCCGGTAAACAGTAAAGAAATGAAATATGATTATACTAATTATTACTGCAGCTTAAAGTCCTATGAAGCTTTGTTCAAGTGATACATCATTATAGACTTATTTGGTTTATGTGAAGAAGGGATACCCAAGAAACCGTTCATTTAGAAGTAATTCTATGCAATTGCACTTAATTTACTTTGATGAACATTATCTATACAATATTCCAGGCATTAAAAGGACTTCGCTAACAAACATTTTAACATTATCTAACAAAGTTAACATTTTCAGTGGTTGGGTATTCCAGCTATGCCACAGAACACTCATGAGAGGTATCCCATATATTTTTTAAAGGATCTTATTTATAATTATCCATTATACTTTCCTTACTCTTGAGTAAAATGCGCAGTGCTGGTGTATTTTCCACATTTCTATATTAAAAAAAAAAAACCCGAAATGTAGTGTCAAGCAACTGCATCTAGGCCATATGAATTAGGAATAGGGACCTCTTCAAACAGCTTTTCCATTTTTTTTAAGTTATTCTTGCCTATCATTTCAATCTCTGAATTTAGTTTCACCATTTTTGTTAATAATTCAAGTATCATTACTTGATTAAAATATGTGGTAGCAGGAAAGCATGAAGCAAACAATGATAAAGACTGTGAAATAAACATTTAATTGAAATACCACAGACTGAAATGTAATTTTATCATTCTGGAAGGTTAAAAGCCAGTTTAGACCTCCTATTGTATTAAAGGTAAAGACTGGATTTAAGTAATTCAGTTCCTTAAGTGTTCTCCTGTTGCTACATTGCTTGCTTTGTGCAAGGTAATTTATTTTCAAATATAACAGATTTACAAAGGCAAGCAATAGCAGACTATGTTGGATTTGGGGAAAAATGAATTGCAAGGACTTTTCAAGAAGGACAAACAACTAGTTGCTATATGAAGTTTTGAAATGTAAACCTTTTGCTGGATCTCAGAAAGGAACATCATAATACATGTAAGTACCCTTCAACATCAACTATTGTTATCCATCCTTCTTTGCAATAGGAATTATATACATGAAGTATGCATTAGGAATGTATCTATAAAAAGAATATTATGGCTGTCTAGTCAACCACTAAGAGCATGTATTATGATGTTCCTTTCTAAGATTCAGTAGAAGTTTTACATTAAAAAAATAACAATTAAGACTGCCCTTTAATTCAGCAACCTGGTGCATGTAGCTTCTTGATAGTCTTTAACTACATAATCATGTAGTATTTGTACCTGGCCACTGTCTTATTCACTGCCCAGAAGGCATGGAGATCACAGAGTAGATAAATGGATATAAAAGGTAACATTCAATATTCAAATATTTGGCCCCATATTAAGAGTACAAAATGTTCATTTCAGAGAAATTTACACTGGTGCATAGTACAGGGTACATTTACCCCAAAGTTGTAACAGACATGATGTACTACTAAGGATACTTCACAAGAGCTGCAGTTCTTACCAAGACAAACCAACTTAACATCTGAGGTAAACATTACAGCATGCACTGGAAGTTTGCTGGGGCCAAGACACCTTGAAATCTGGGACTATTACTTTTGTTGGTTACACAGCAGTTAAAAAAAATTACCAAGGCTTCTCATGCAACATCAGTCCTCAAAAATTCCTAGAAAACAGTAATATTGGTCTTCTCCCAATTATGACACTTTAGCACTCGCACACACTTTTTACTACTCAGTAGTTCGACTGTTCCACCTGTACTAAGGCTACTTCTATGTCAGCTACTGGCCTGTCCCTCCTTGCAGACTGGTATTCCATGGACTAGAGAGGCAGAGAAAAATCTCAGAGAAAGCACATGCTATATCTTTCACAATTACTCTTTATTGGTCCCTAGGGCTTTTGGGAGAATAAGGATGCCATGCAACCCAATACAGGTGGTACAGTTTGATACAAGTGCACTTTGTGCACTGAAGGTACTGGACAAAGGAAAGAAGCTCATACTGATGGGAAAGTGCTGCTGACTTGAGATGACCATAAATGATATCAGAATTTCAAAGTGGCTACATTTCAAGAGATCTAAGCAGTACTGCCCCCAGAGATGTGGAAACAGATTATCAGCATGAGGATTCTCTTCTATAGAAAAGCTCATGTCAACAATCATCTGGAAACTAGCAAAGCCTAACTGATACTGGTTCATGACCAACCACTTTGGCATGGGTAAATAAATTCCTGGAAATTCTGTGTATTTGGTATGTACTGCCATGAAGAAATTGTTGGTACAGGCAGTCCTCAGGACAATATTGAAAGGTCTGCACACAGGTTTCCAGAACTATGAAGGCAATTAACACCACCCATGTCTCCACTATATGTCCCCCCCTCCACCTTCCCAACCATGCATTCGGGTACAAACAAAGGAAGGACTTCTCCATTAGTTGCAAGAAGTGGTAAACAAAAAGCTTGACTTAAATCGCAATCAAATGGTGTGGAAAGATATACAGACCACAGTATTCAAGAACTTAAATATCTGTCATAACAAGGGGGTGGAGGGCAGATTGCTTGCAGAACAGCCCCACTAATCTGAACAGGGCAAGCATTCTCTGGTTCTGTGTGACCCTGCGTAGCCAATTTTGCCTCAGCCAATGAAACTTTATATACAATATCTGGCTCCAAATACGGGCTTAAAAGCTGTCACATGAATGTAGAGTATGTCTTTGTAAGAATGAAGGCCAGATGGAAGTCCTTAAGGAAGACTCAATGTCAGAAAGCTACATGACAAGCAAGGTGAAGGCCAGCTGTTTTGTATATTTGCAAAGCATAATAGTAAGAGCTCTTAGGAGATGCATGAGATGTGGAGCAAGAGACACTGACCATTAAGGGTTTCAGCTACCTTCTACAAACACTTAGAATAGCCCTGACACAGAAGCTTTTGCATAGCAAACTACTTTGTGAAATGGCATGAAGGGGGTCATGCAACATCTCACATGCCTATGGATGTTGGTATGTGCGACTGAACAAGTGTTCTGAAAGTGAGTATATACTTTTCCTTCTAATTTATTGAACAGAACATGAAGCATTTTAAAATTAAAGGAACACCTTTGCTAGAGTGGTAGTTCTCTTGGACTGCAGCTGTTCATGCTGTGCAGCTACCTGCTATCCCAGAAAGGGTGCAGAATCCACTTATAGGAAAATCTCAAGGCTGACATACTAATGACTAATCTCAAGGAGTGTGTTATGGTAATCCAGCTTGCCACTGCTGATATTGTACCTCTCCCACTCCTCCACCAGAGCCTGGGACATCTCCACTGCAAGCCAGAAGACTTGCTCCAGGTTTTGTAGTTTTTGGACACATCTCCTGGATGTCCCCAGCAACCTGAGCACACACTTTTTCACAATGACAATTTCCTACAACCTCAACCCACCTGAGGATGCTACCAACTCTCCTTAGCAGGCAGATTCTCCTTGTAGCCTTTCACTGTGTATTAAAGCACACCCTTGAATAGCTGCCTCTAAGGAATTATTGTTCCATCCTCCACAAAAGATGCATCTTCAATACATTTCTTATTTCTATCATGATGTTGCTATGTTTTGTCCCCATTTTGGGCAAATCACCACAATGGGAAGTAACAGGATACCCTGAATAACTAAAGGGCCTGAACCAGGTTCCCTATGCCTCCCTTGCTTGACATTATTTCATTCATTTTAGGGATTTTTTTTTGGGGGTGGGGGGGGGGGGGGGGGGAAATTAAGGGGGGGTGCGGGAAATTAATACAGAGTCACTAAAGACTTTGTGAAGTGCCTTCTCTGGCATTTTAAAGAATGTAAAATAAGTAAGTGCAAAAACACAAGTTGGTGCAGGATAACTGCCATTTCCATAATTGCACGTATTTTCCAGTCATCTCTGTAACTCTCAATACGTTCAGATATTTAGGAACACCTAGTTCAGGGGTGGGCAATTATTTTGGGCAGAGGGCCACTTACCCAGTTTTAGCAAGCTGTCAAGGGCCCTATGGGTAGCCGCTGGGGCAGCCCCCCCCCTTCACAGGTGCCCCGCCCCCTGGTCACCATCTTGGGACCAATGTCCCAGGGCCAGCGCCAGTGGGGCCCAGAGCAGGGCGCAGGCTGGCAGGGGTCTGCAGAGCTGGGTTGGGCTGCACCAGCATGGAGAGCGGGGAGCTGGACTGGCTCCATATAGCTCCTGCCAGCCGGGACCCCTGTACTCCTACCACCCCACCAGCGCTGGCCCCAGGACACCTGGGGAGACGATCCCGATGTGAGGAAAAAGAGGGAAAGGGGCCAGGAGGCTTCCTTGGCTGACCAGAGAAATCCAGGGCAGCCTGCGGACTAAAAGGGGAGCATATAAAAAGTGGAAACGGGGAGAGATTACCAAAGAGGAGTATACCTCCTCTGCTCGCACTTAGACGGGCCAAAGCTACCATGGAGCTGAGGATGGCATCCCAAGTAAAGGATAACAAAAAAATGTTTTTTAGATATATAGGGAGTAAAAGGAAGGCCCAGGGTGGAATAGGACCCCTGCTAAATGGGCAGAAGCAATTGGTGACAGACAGGGGGGACAAGGCTGAACTCAAAGAGTTCTTTGCCTCAGTGTTCCTAAGCGAGGGGCAGAACAAGGCTCTCATTGGGATTGTAGAGAGGCAGCAGCAAGGCACCAGATTGCCATGCGTAGACCCTGAGATGGTGCAGAGTCACTTGGAGGAACTGGATGCCTTTAAGTCTGCAGGCCCGGATGAGCTCCATCCGAGGGTGCTGAAGGCACTGGCTGACGTCATTGCACAGCCACTGGCGGTAATATTTGAACA